TATATATATATATATATATACACACACACACATAAGCCGCCACCTTATACTCATAGCCGTACCACATAGATAGAGAGAAATTTAATTTAAGGTACATATACACACACACACACATAAGCCGCCACCTTATACTCATAGCCGTACCACATAAATAGAGAGAAATTAATTTAAGCACCAACTGTACCTTCCATTGGGGATACTTATATATATATATATATATACACACACACACATAAGCCGCCACCTTATACTCATAGCCGTACCACATAGATAGAGAGAAATTTATATATATATATATATATACACACACACACATAAGCCGCCACCTTATACTCATAGCCGTACCACATAGATAGAGAGAAATTTAATTTAAGGTACATATACACACACACACACATAAGCCGCCACCTTATACTCATAGCCGTACCACATAAATAGAGAGAAATTAATTTAAGCACCAACTGTACCTTCCATTGGGGATACTGTGTGTTGGTTTTGTTATATGCAAGCTTCCTTCAAAATCTGAATGGTGACAGGAAACCTTTCCCCTAGAAAGCAGCTTTCCTAGAGCCACAGTGTTCATGCTGGAGGCTAGCATCTCCTCTGCCAAATCCATTGTGATTGCATGCCCCAAATTGAATCCTAATTCTGCAAACTTTTTTGCATAAAGACAAAGGCCATGTTGAGCATATATGGATCCCATCTCCATTTGATCCTCATAACAGGAACAAATATCTGGTTCAGCACAGGGCCACATTGTTGGTTCCACAATGTCCTACAAGATCCCAGATTTATGCCAAAACTCAAAACAATGACAACATAAATTCCAGAAAGAAAACTATGTGAATTTTTTTCGGATATAAAAAACTTACATTGACAAGGGGATAACAGCTTTTAAAATTTATATCGGCTTCCGATATCAAATCTGCCAGTCTGGACACATGATTCACTACCGAGAGAACATCTTTTCTGTTAACAGGTACATATAATTTTAGATCATCACGATTGCAGCGCAGTTTTGTCCAAGTCTCCTGAACTAAGTCAACTTCAGGAGAACTTATTCCTGGCAACAATCGCATATTGAAGTCAGCACGGCTGCACTCATCCATTAAGTGGTATCTACAGGATATAGATTCATCTTCATTTTGGTTATCTTCTTGCTCCTCGTTGCCATTAACTGATTCTACATCTATGTCATATGCTGTCCCAGCATTATCTTCTAAACATTTTCTTTGTTCAATAGTGGTTCTATCCAAATTGTTAGCATCTCCTGGAGGACCATGGATTGGGCTAATAGAATCAGTTAAATTAAAACACGTATTGTGGGAAGTTATTGCAAGAAAATCTTCCTCCCCGTTAGTTTCTGTCCCGAAAATAAAAGAAGATTCTGGAACATATGACACATCCTGTAACTTGAATGTGTCACATATATGTGAAACAGATCCAGTTTCAAAAATTTCTAGTGGCTGCTGAACTATATCTCCCCTTTTATATCTACAAATGGGATCAGTGGGGAGTTCATTGAGATCGAGCATTCCACTAGTCTGTGAAATGGGGCCTTTCAACTTGTCTAACATCTGGTGATCATTCACAGTCTGTGTTTGTAGACACTCATCAGCACTCCCATCATCTGATTGAGAAGATAATACAATGCCACGCTTGTGCTTAACTGTTCGTTGAGCATTATTTTCTAGGGAGTCTGAATCATCACAGAAGTCTTCGATATCACTGTGATCTAAAAGGTCTGCAGAGTCGAGAAAGGAGGATTTTCTCTTGAACAACGCTCTCTTCCTAGGCTTGACAGGTGTAGATACACTGCTCAGGTGAAGGTCAATCATTTTCATTGGGGTCATTGGGGTAAGCTCTTGTGGCACTACCTCCATCCGTTGCAGATTTTCTTCCACCATAAAAGCTGTTTTATTGATCTCGTCTCCCACTTTTTCCGATAGCTTGCATGGTAATTCCCAAGGAACCAGCCTTGGAACTATCGAGTATGCAGCATTGATATCAAATCCCATGGGACTGTAGCTGACTCGTGCACTTCTTTCTGAATAGTAAAGGAAAATGTAGAATTAACTAAAAGTTACCCAGGATTGACAAAAAAAAAAGGAAAACAAAAATAATCATGAAATTTTGAGTGATAGTAAAAGAAAACTGGAGTATTATAATGCAAAGGACATTAGATTCGCCGCCATAACCACCACACAAGCCTTTTCCCCTCAATTAAAAAAGGTTTGACTGATAACACAATTCCCTCTGAGAATCCTCAGGAGGAGAAAAGCAAATGAACATAACAAAATAAGCCCACACGATGTACTTATTGTCATATTGATTTAAAGGTCAAAGACAATAAATAGGCAAGATGTTGGACAATGCATATCTTTCGAGCTGCTTTAAAACTCATGCAATTTCAAGAACCTTTGAACAGCTATCCAACTGATATGAATCAATAACAAATAGCAAGCAGGCCTTCTTCCTTACAGCTATTAATAAATGAATTCAAGAGTTACAGGAATTATCTGCGCAAGTTGTGTGATTTAGCCTTCACTTTTACATCAGGTAAAAAGATAATATGAAGCTCCGAGCCAAGAGATTCTGGTCCAATAGGGTTCATTAACAGGCAAGCAGATGTATTGTGGCTAACTCATGAAAGAACATTTTAACAGTAAATGACAATAAAATATAAACACCAGTATGTATATGTAAATGTATATGTATATGGATGTATGTGTATGTGTGAGTATGACATCGCAAGTTCCGTACCTGTCTGTGGCCCCTTGCCTTGGCACCAGAACTGAAGAAGCATAAGAGTTTTACGAATATCACCAAGACAGCATCTGACTAAATACTCTAGCATATCGGAGGAAACATGAGCCTTCTCGGAAGCACAAATCTGTAGAAAAACTCGGAACAAGTCATTTTAAGTGGCAAGTCTAATTCAAGGTGCTCAGGAAAGAATCCTGTATAAATAAATTAAAAACTTAGTATTGAACAGAAATCTTACCATGTATAGATGAGAAAGCAACTCGTCTGACGTTGGAAAATTAAAATCCAAGACAAAACGGTCCAGAAGTTGTGGTAACACAGGCTTCCTATCTGCATATGACTAAAAAGAAAATCAATAATGGTTAAAAGATTGAAATACTTAATATTGAATTTTAAACTCACAGTTGCTGGTTAGTATAATGGGGCGTTTTGCTGTTTCCACCAATTGAAGAACGGAAGCAATAAACCCACGATCCTCATCAAAAACAGTATCCACATCCTCAAAAAGAATTAGACTTTTGTTTGCAGTTTGACTGATGGCAATTTTCTCTGAAGCATTCCAAGAGATTTTTGCGTGAGTTGCTTCTTGCTTGGATGATCCTGAAACAATTTCAATTGAACCATTTCTTGGACCATTTGGATCCTCAGCAGACCTAAAAGAAATTATGCAGTTCAATCATGTCAATATTTTTTGAGACGATATATCCTATGGTGATTATTTTCAATAAAGGTCATGATCTACAGCTTGTAGGATGTTAAGTTTAGCCCAGTGAGCAAGTGATTGGGCAAGGGAGCCAGATATTATAAAGAAGGTAAATAAACAGAGAAATTAAAAAATATATATTGTTCTGAATACATGAATATATGCAAAAACATCCCAACCATTAGTAATTTATTGACACTTGCAAATGGGTGTAGGCGTCCTGCAAATTAATATCACTGGTGTACGCATCATACAAGGCTGAAGCACATGTTGTCAATATATATCTGTCACGACACTGCCAAATTTAGGTAAGGAGCTTTATACAAGTACATAGTTGCAAGACATCTAGAAAAACATAGGATATATGAATGGGCCTTCGAGGGAAATGATGGTTACCTAAGGTCTATGAGAAGAAACATATTCTTAAAGACCAGATGAAGCAAGGAAAATTCAGAGACAGTATGACTCCACATGAGAAGAGCAAATCTCTAGCTACGATATAAGACAAGAAAGAATTATCAACTATCACCAATATAAAAAAAATATATTCCTGACACTTTGCAGCTCATGAAACGCAAGGCCCCACATATCGTTTCACAAAACTTTATTGCAGGCTATCAACCTGATATAAACCCTCAAATTGGTAATGATTTATGGCCAAAGAAGTTATGAAATATGGAGAGCCTCACCGTTATCTGGAAAGTGACCTAATAGAATTAACAAGTTACTCATATAGAACCAAGGACATTCAAGCTTAAGAATGGGATTTGCAATCCCCAGGATGGAAGAGACACAATAGCTATGGCTGCTGATACAGACAGGCAGCCTTAATTAACCGGCTCCATTTACTCAGGACTTTAGTTCCCTCAATGCATCCTTTACATTTTATTCCCATCATTAGTGGTTAACTCACCTCTATAGCAGTCTCAAATGAAAATGTATGCATCATAATTGGTAGTAGCTATGTTCTTCCACATAAACCATATAATTCTACTTTTATATAATTTATACTTTTAAATCTATTTAAATATCAGAGCATAATACAACTATTTTCAAAAATTTATGAGTTAATGACACTAATTAGAGATCATATATGAGAATTTTATGCAGTTGAAACTCTGTCATGTTAAATAGCATTACTTGTAAAAAGTATGTTAAGATAGTACTGAAAAGTTAGTTAAGAACCATTTGTTTAGTGCATGTGAGTCCACAGCCTGTCCAAACACCTGCTTCATGTGAGTTCCATTTCTAACATCAGATGTGTTCACCTAAAAGAAGCATAAAAAGCTCTCAAAATTAGAATCAGAAAATGGAATAGTCATTGTGATGATTAAGATGTTACTGAAATCAAATGATCTAAAATTATGATTAGAGAAACAGATAGTTACCTAAAATAAAGCGTACATAGCTCCCACGAGAGAGAGAGAGAGAGAGAGAGAGAGAGAGCAATTGCAACATTCAATGTTATTGAAATCGGAAGATTTAAAGAATTTGTTAAGCTCCACAGAGTTGACAGAAAAGATATACGAAAATTAGCATAGCAATGGTCAGCTTGTTGGCAATATGAATTATCCTGATTTTGCTGTTAACCTACATGTCTATGATGTCATCCATAGACCATAGTCTTCTATATGGAAGGAACATGTCAGTCTCCAAGCTCCCCAGTGCTAACCTCCTTATCATTAGCTTCTGGAACTATAACTACGATTTGTAAATTCACAAACAGAAGTATTATTTCCAACATAAACATGACAACGTAGCGGACGAGTTTCCATTCTCCATAGAAATGTGAAAATTTATGCGTGTGCAGAAAATGTAGGCATGAATTATAATAAGAGGTAACACATAATATTAAGCTGGATTAGCAAGACCCAACACTTACACTATCAGGTATATGTTGAAGGAAAAGACAAGATAAATCGAAAATATTACTTTCTGCAGTTTAGAGAGCATTGTGGCGGAAGAGTATTTGGTTGGGCATGAAGAAAAACTAACATTTATGAGAAAGAAAATTGGCAAAATTTGTAAACAGCTGCCTAAAAGAACGGGATATATTCATGTACAACAAATGAAAACGTAATGAAGCCTTTTGAGGCAAAGGGTTCAAGAGCATAAAAGGTAAAGAATACAAAGTCCGTCTGTGACAATATGGCTGGCAGCAGTTAAGGATGTGAAGAAGTGTGATTTCCTAAAGCATTAACTCGTGCCACTAGTAAATCCATTTCTTTCTAGCACTTCTTCGGAACATGAGTCGTGCATAATCATAACTTCCTTGCAAATACTACATAAACAACTTTTGCAGTTTAAAGTAGGCACCATCAACCAAATTCCCTACTTGTGGCAAGCGCCAGCAAAACTTTTATATTCTAACAATCCCTAGGTTGAGGGTCCTTTTTATAGGCCAAAAGTTGGGGAATTTGCGCAACACTATTTTCCTTTTACAGTTCTCTTTAGATATGCACCAAGTTGGAGCCGATTAAAGGCACAAGCTTAGCTATAACAGGCAGAAAAACCCGCAATAGAGCAATAGTCTTGATAATGAGATTATCAAGTTCATCAATTTAGTACGGTGCATTTTCTTGGAGCTAGGTTGCCCCTGTACTATCTTAAAGTCTGTGCCGCTGCATCAATCAAACTTTTTCTTGAAACCATCAAAGGGTCTCACCCTAGAGGATGAGATCGCTGGAAGTTGCGAGTTACTAATTGAACTTTGGTTCATAACTTTCAATATTTAATCTTGTAAAAGAATAGTGATGGCACGTTTTTCTGATTTAATCTTGGAATCGAATAGTGATAGCAAATACTATAGAAGGCAGAAGCATTAACAGCAAACTATCTAAGTCTGAAAATAACATGAACCAAGCTAGCCATCCCTTTGATAGGTCTAGCGAACACCTTGCTCCAACAAATTAGGTGGATCATCTTAAATTACTCTCAGCCTATGTAGCACATCTCCAATTGAAAATATTTAGTTCCATTTTAGTTTTTATTCTTCCCATCATCCAGGAGAAGGCTTCTTCAGCAATACTTGTGAGATGTACCATGATAAAAACTATCAACCATAGTTCCAAAAAATAAAACTTAAAGCTGATGATGAAAAAAACAAGAAAAAAATTCCAGAGTAGAGTACCTCAATTACTTCGAAGCCTTGCTCTTTCGCACAGGCATATACAGCAGCAGATTTTCCGCTCTGCATTCTCAAAAGACAAGTACACTTAGTAATGCTTATTAGGTACTTAAATTCCTTCATGGAATCATTTCAGATAAGTAATTATTCAATAAATTTTCAGATCAAGAACTGTACAAAAATGACATGCCTGTCGAATTGCTTAAGCATGATGGCTTATGTTAGCCAGAAAGGTAATATTTCTTGAAGGAGAAAGGAAACAAATTAAAACTCAAATGCGAGTTATCAAAATGGCTACAAGAATTTCAGAAAGAGAAGAAAAGGCTTTTTCTCCTTTGTACTTTGAGTTTGTTTCGTTAAACTCTTATTGATAAAAGCGAGCGAGCAAGAGTGAGAGAAGCAGAAGTATATTGATAGAAGCAAAACTGAACTTTATCAGTATCACAATTACCAGTCCACTGTTGCATATAGAAACTAACCGTTCTCTGTATGGCATGGTGCAATCCACCAGAATAGTAGCCCATAGCTACTACATAACAATGATAAATTCAGTTCATGAAGCAGATTTGAACTAAAAGGTGGACAGCGGATTCTTTTCTAGGAAAAGGGCTGAGAGTGCTCTTCAAGACCTTCTAAATCTGATTATGGCATAGGTCCTAGTCAAAAAATCTGCAATAGAAGGATGGCCAAATTTTGCCACCAGCCAACCTGATGTTAAGCTATCCCGTGCTAGACTATCAGCTTGTTGACTAAAAGAAGGTTCACTTACACACTGATGTCTTTTCTAGCTTCCTGGTCCAAAATGGACAACACAAAGAATGCTTTAAGTTTAACTATAAAACTTAATCCTTCTATACCTAATTTGGATATTCTCATTCATGTAATCATCTTCAAAGCCATTGCACATTTAATTTTCCTATATACTGTTATATTTAGCAGCCTATAGTGTGTAAATAGTTCAACCATGCACTTGACTCTATGCTATACAAAGGTCCTTCAGTCTAGTCCAGCAACCCCACCCTGAAACCTCGCGGATACATTATTCACCTTGACCACCTCTTTCCTTGTTTGTTCACTTCTCCAAAACAAATTGCTACCCAGTTTGTTCAATTGAAGTTCCACAAAGAAATTGCGCATCTTGGTTACTGTTAAGTTTTTAAACAAAATTTGCCTATATTTTAACTAAGCTGATTCCCCATAACATGCTTCTTCCAGATTTTGTACTGCAGTCTTATGTGCTACATCCAACTGTCAACTGTATATTATTAGTCCAATGCTTGCTTAATGCAGAGCTCATGTTAACTTGGAGCCTTTGACTATTCAGGTTGAGACGGTAGTCTATTATCAAAATTTTGAAAATTGGCAGCACATGAAAACTTTCAGACTATGCATTGAGAAAAAGTGAAATTAGCAATTTGATAGGCATCCAAAAATTGAAAGAAGACGACTGTTTTCAAGATGTCATCAACCCAAACTAATCAACTCCAACCAATCCAAGAACAATCCATTTCCTATATATGAAGAGGAACCAACCTCGAAAATGAGAGGGGGGAAAATTAATCATGCCAGATACTATACTCAGGCAGAAAAAATTGGCAATATGGTTTGCTCAAAAGAAAGCAATAAAGAACATGAAACATGTGCATTTTGTCTATTTTTAAAGTTAATTCATAAAGAAGAGTCATGTCAACAATAGATCTAAAGAATTATATAAGAGAAATTGATCCGTCTAGTTTCGCATACCCCAATTGGTCCAGTTATTAAAAGCACATTTTTGTGTATTGCTTCATCATCCATGTCTGATTCAATTTCATACATACTATCTTCACTGTCTTCAGGGTCACAATGTTCCAAAAGATTTTTCTTAGTGCTAGTCTGAAGAACTCTTTCATTCCATGACTTGAGCCATTCATTAAGCAACCTGACAGATTCCCTATTTCCGCACACCTGCAGAATCAATCAGATATCTTACAATAGTGAAGAAGATACTGAGAAAACTACATCCAAGGCCACATTTACAGCAAACAATCATGCGAGCAGAAGAAAAGGAAATCACATCTTGGTTAATACAATGAATATTTACCAGGATTTCGTGCAGGACAAGGAAAGGAGTAAAAAATGACTGACCTCTAAGGCATTTTCTGGTTGGTACTTGTTGGTCCATAAGCTACACTCAGGCCAATAGCTGATGCGTTGATAATATGATGTCAACCTAGAGGATAAATGCCACTTTTAGGACAATGATGGAACAATTTAATATTCCTTCTAAATTTGCTCAAGTAAAAATGGCTGTCAGGAACATTTCAACAATTGCTTCATCAGGAAATTACACATCAAAATCCAAATTTCTATGTAACCCACACATACTACCCCACTTCAGTAAACCAAAAAGGGGAATGACTTAAATTATCAACTCAAAGTTATCCACTCAGATGAAAGGGAAAGGAAGAAACTTCCGCAAACAATCAATTGGACATATTTTATATTCAAGTTCCTCATTTCGTTAACTTCTTCAATTATGTCTCCGTGTGTTTGGGTGCGTGGATGTAGAGAGAGAAAAAGGAAGAGATTAGATACTCAAACTACATTCCAAACCAAACTCTAAATTAATATTGCAAGTTCCCAAACTGTGATAACAGCTCAATTTAAAACATATTTAATGGCAAAATATACCAGGCAGGCATCAAATGCAACATTATAGCTAATCTTTTTCTAATTGTCAAGCAAATTACTGAGATTTCATTGACATGATTTCTACTGCTTGTTTTATTTCATTACTCGCTTCATTTGATCTCACTAAATTAGTTTCAGTTCTTATAATGAAATAGCAACACATTTAACTAGCTTTTGTGAAGTTCAGATATCATCGTGTGCGCATGCGTGTGCGTTTTTTTAATAACATTGGTTTATTTGTCAACGAAAGAGCAAGATTTGATCTACAAGCTAACTTATTGGAATTTGGAAGTCACCTGAAAATGAAAAAAACAAGGTTATGCAAATAATAAATAAATCTGACCACCATTTCTCTCCTAGGAATTTAGAAACCGTATCGAATATCTGAACTACAGCACACTATCAAAAGAATGCCGTGAAGCCTTCAACAATCAGAATCTTATCTTATTGCTGTACAAACTTAAACAGATCTTATAAAATGATACAATAAATCTTCCTCTCCAAGAGAATGATACTATAAGTTTCAGAACTTTCTAACCTTTCCGTTAGTGACTTATCCTGCTGCTTATTCTCCAAGTTATCAACAGAACAATTTTCCTGTGACAAAGTATGTTCACTGCTAAAAGGGGCCTGCTAAAGAAACACATTTGAAGAGAAGAAAATAGTCACATGAGATGGTTTGTCATAGCATAGAAATTTCCAAAAGATTATCCAGTTGGGAATTATGGAAATTTTACCACATTAAATCGCTGCCAGTCTATAGACGTGGGTTTTATTGAACTGGTGGACAATGGCCTACCATGTACTTGATCTGGTAAAAGATTCAGATCCATTCTTTCATGATTATTATTATCCAATATTAAGGGCTTGACAGAACCATCAAAAACTGATGAAGCTTTTTCTATTGCACGATAACAGCTCAAATCAGAAAGAAAAGTTTCTGTAAACTCCCAATTCTTCCAGTCAAATGAAGCAATGTTATCCTATAGACAGCAAAAGAACAACACCACATCATAATCTTTTATACATGAACATTGCAATGGTAACCATATAATAATATTATCAATAGATAAGAAAGTTGTTTGGCACCTCCAATGTGTCAAATACATGAACAGGAGGACAAGAAACAGTGTAATCTCCATCGAGTCCAGACCAGCATCTCATCTCCACTTTTTTTTCATGAGACTCATGTGATCTCTTTGTTTTTCGAGAAGCAAAAAATGGATGTGTTTGCTTGCCTGCAGATAAACGCAAATTTTCCTGATAAAAAAAGCAAAAGCAGTTAATATAATTATCCAACACAAATGTAGTGGTAAGTAAGTACTGACTGTGTAGGTGAAATTGTTGGTGCCCCAGGAAACTGGAAGGTATATAGCAAGGCCACTATAGCAAATTGATCCTACAAGCGATAGGATTTCCTAACCCAAATTACCTTGAGAAGTACACAGTATGCTCATTGCACAAAATAAATATGGAAAGGTAGATCATGATGTGTGATCATTGGGACAAATCTACTGTAATGAAATCACAAGGTAACAAAAACTTATCTTGACAAGGGTTTGCACCATTATTGCCCTTAATAGTATGAAGCATGTGTGTCATGCAGAAGACACAGTCAACGAAGACGCTTAGATCTTTCATCAAATCATTAATGCAATAATTACTATTAGTGGAAACTTGACTGATAAAATGATGCTTTAAGAAGTCCACTGAAATAATTTCCACTTGTGCCAACATTCTGGATGTAATGAAATTCCGTATGTTAATAAAATCGAGTCAATAAATGTTTTCACCGTTATGGGTGAAAGGAGCTAGATATGCATCACATACACACTTGTTTACTATTTAGAAAAAGAGTTAACAAACATCCAACAGTTGTCACACTTTCAAATTCAGTGGCTTAAATATTGGGGAAAGAAAGAGAAGGAATATGCAAATGAGCAATATCTATTGTGAAAGAATGAAAGGAATATGCAAAATGTGCAATAACTATGCACGAATATTAAAAAAGTAAATGGTCTAGAAGCTATGGGCAGTTAATGACAAATCCACCATTCAATTGTGTCATTAGAGATTACTCTCAACGAAGTGCATGCATATTACGCACATTTATGCCAGTAAAATAATTGTTGGGTTCTGCTACTGCCAGAAGCATCATCAATTGTGACTTTTCATTAAAATGGGGCTAGTTATGGAGCATAACTCAATGTTGAGAAAGCTCAACAGACAGCTGACCAAGGTATATAGATCAACCTGAGATCACCTGTCCACGGATTGGTGGCAATCTTGTTATCAATCAATTGAAACATATGAGAAATTTTGGCCTATTTGCACCCTTCAAGACAGCAAGTCTCTTTCAAAGATTCATTTTAATATTCATACCTTTCGCATTGCCTTAAGTAATTAAAACACATATAACCATGTCCAAGTTCTTATACATTTAACCTTTCATTTCCGTATTATAGATATTGTATGGGAAAGGTACGCGCACAGACATACAGTATTTTTCCTCTTTTTCCCCTTTTTCTTTGGCAGTATAGATATTCTCCATAAATGGATTCTTATTTTGATGGCATTTCATGATTTTAGCAATTGGTGTGGATGCATTGCTGTGCATGGTGGGAGGCTAAAGGTGTTAACCTTTCCTGATTTTCTTCTTTGACTCCATGTGAAAAAACATTAGATTATTTCCATGAACTAGCAAAACAATGGCTTCATCTTTATGATAAGTTCTAGATATTGGTTTATGTAGTATTTTGTAGATGTAGATCACATTTACAGTGGAAATTATATCAACCATCAATGGTAACATCTATTCTGTAAGTATCTCACAAGATTAAGTAAGTCTATAATAATCCATTACATGCACAATAATTAGTTTGAGTTTGTATTATGTATCAAAGTCAAAGTATCAATCAGTTTGATTTCTTTTTTTCTTTTTTTTTCATCAGATTTATCGAAATATGAAAAACAATGTACCAACACATCTGGCATTACTTATCAAGATCCAAGATAATTAAGCAGATGAATTAAATCATCCTGATCAAATTAAATTGCTAGAAAATAGTTCAGCTTATGAAGCGCATGTCACAAATACAAAGCCTTTGTCCCAACCCTTTAGGGCCAGCTGCATAAATCCTTGTATTCAGGTAGGCTTAATTAAGGGTTAATTTTCAATGAAACAGCATTTGTACCAAAGATGAATGAGATGTCAAAATCGAAAATTTATATTTTAAATCAATGCTATACAAGGAATACCTCTGCCGACATCTTTGCCTCCAACCAGAGATCAGTCAATGGGCGGCGTACACTCAATTTTGGGCCGTCAATATCACTAATAGCATCATATCTCTTATTATTTAAACTCTTCTTGGAACTTGATCCGCCTTGTTCGATCTCCCGAGAAGTTGGAGATGTCTTAGGTGTGTCCTCCCCAGTCTGTTCATTTCTCAACTGATAACAGTTCTTGCTACCTTCGAAAATGTAGCATAACTAAGTTACAGAACGATATCTAATGGGTATGGTACAATATTATTATATAGACCAATATAGAGGAAGATATTACCACATTTATAGAGTCAAGTAAGCATAACATAGATTTTGAAATTGAACCATAAACAAACTTTAAAGGGCTGAATGTCACATATGCACTGCTGCCATAAAATGACGAATAGATGGACACTTAGTGACTGAAAAGTTTTGTTTAGGATTACTCTTTTTTTTCTTTTTTCTTTCTTTTTTCTTTTTTGGGTTCAACAACTTAAAACTATTCAGCTCAGACATTGTTCTGGTGTCTATTCCTTGATACTCCAAAATAATGGAAGATCTTGTTATTTAGTATTACTTCTTAATGACAGAAATAAGATAACTCAGTGAGATTATTTTGGTCAAACCTCTGTAAAAATTTAGTCATGACTCTACAGTTGAACAACAATCTATAACAGTGTAAGCCACTGATACCTAGTTTGCTGAATTCATTGCTCATTAATAGTGCTTATGATTAGTAGAATACATAAAAGTAAGTTTCCTTGTGGTACTCTCTTTATTGTTTAAAATAAGTAGTTTACATGGGAATGATCCAAAACCGGATGCCACTTACTGGAGCGAGTCAACAGGAAGTTAGCAAGTAGCTCAACAGATGCCAAACAATTAACTTGTCAAACAGAGTGATGCAAAAACGTAGAGTAAAGAATAATGTAAAACTTGCTCAAAAAACAAAGCATGCAATTCCCTAGACAGCTTTTAAACAAATATAACATTTGGTAGGAAATTCAGAGTTGTCATTACATATCTTAGTCTGGTTAACTTTAACTTATATTTCTGTGGGTTCAGCATTTTCTCATATATATTTTTTAATTTTTCAAGTGGGCTGAGAAAATAAGACTTTATATTGTGAAAAGGAACACATTTGTAGAAACAGTCCATTTAAGAAGAAAATAATATAGCTGACCGACCTTTGTTCCTCATGCTTGATCTACGTTCTTTCCTCTTTGCAGGAGACTGAAAGAAAAATTGAAAAAAAATCAGGTCCTCCAGGCATAGATATGTGTTCACAGATTCATAAGGGGCAAAAGTAGCAACATGTGAGTGGCAAAAGCCAAAACAAGTTATGATGCGCATGAATCTCAACGAATCATATAGGTAAAGTTCTGGATGACCAAGAAAAGGGACAAGTTTATGCATGCCATGATATGTGACTAAAACACATTCATGTATGAATGTAATATATGAACCTCAAGTTTTATTCATGCAAGCACTGACCACTTGAATCAAATTATCAAAACATACAGAATTAACTTTTTGTCGTTTATAGTCGTCAAAAGTATCGGTTTGGTCAAAATGAATGCAGTTCTTTGCAGAAAGAATGGTTGGAAGTATTCGTTTGACTAAGAGAATGTACATGGACACTTGCAAATCAAGTGATTGTATAAGAAAGCGCACTTAAGCTCCCAAATCCTGGATTTCTGGCGTAACAGCGGTGGAACATAACAAACAAAATATTTCGGCCATGTAACATAGGGGCCTACGCTATGGAGAACTCGGCCAAAAACATGGACACCCAAAGGGCCTAGCACACACAATCCTATCTTATTTGAGCCCGTCATTGCACTACTATAGACAGAAAGAAGAGACTTGCCCCGGCACATCATAAACTTTCTCATCCGGGGGAGGAACACTAGGTTGCATGTAGAAAAAGTGAGGGGACCCTGTCGGGCTCCCCCCCACCCCCAAAAAAAACTTTACGTGAGAGTTTCCCTTCATACGGCTCCAATGATTTTCAGATGCCCCGAGAGGCATCTTTTCCTTTATTCCCTTTGAAGGTGGTTCACACGCACGCAAATGGGCACCGGCCGCAACAGCAAAGAACTATTAATAATTTGAGGGTAAAAGAAAATTGTGCCAGACAATTAAGCAAAAATCTACATATAGTGTTTTTTTTTTTTTGCCAGGGTTTGTGATTGAAGAGACGCTTTATAAATATCAAATATGTTGGGAAATAGCCTTATATTTCAGCCCAAAAAACATCAGAAGTGTTGGAATCGAAGCAGGAGATGAAATGGGGTGAAAACATCAAAAGTGGCAGCTAGACCAGTAGGTTGGACCAGTTAGGAACCCTGTTGGTATACCGACCAGTCGGACCGGCTAGGTTAGACTGGTTACAAGTAGATTTCTTTTCTTTGGAATTCTATTCAGGTTATAGTTCTTATTGGTTTATGTATCCGTTTTTAGATCCTTTAAATAGACTCTACCACATCTAGGGTTTTAAGAGAAGAAAAGCCAAGGAGAAATGCATATTGTAAGAGAGAGATTGAGAGAAACTAAGGAGAGAAATATAGGATTTGAAAGATCTTTTTCGGTGAGATTGAGAGAGGATTTCTAGTTGGTTCATCAAGAACACCAAAAAGGGATTTTTTGCAATCTTTGATATTAAGAAGACTCAAATCTCTATATGTGGATGTAGACGATTGTCGAACCACATAAATCTTATGCGTCGTCTCTCTCTTGTTTAATTTTTTACGGTAAATTGCTATTCTCTTGAGTTCGAACATAGGTTTCTTAGAGTTTCCGCATCGCCAAATAATCGCTTGATCTACAAAGAAGAAGAGATCTAATTGGATGATCCGGTGATGCTTCTGCATAGAAACATCGATTGGTGGCCAAAGATCGGTATCGGGTTGCGGTGGGTGTGCGCCAACAAAATAACCTAGGAGTGGAAAGATATCAACATGGGCGGATATATTATCATTCTAAGGGTGAAGCACCCCTAAACAGTTACAAATTTGCATGTAACTTTCATTCTCGCCCCCCACCCCCCTTTAATTTTAAAAATTGCACCCAAAGCCCAAACTAACTAAAAACACTAAAAAATCAATTACAATTGAATTAACCCATTGAAAGTAAAAGTGCATTTAAATTTCAAACAATTAAATGTATTGAGTGCATTCCCATTGCATACCATAGTTTTATAATGTTATTTTTTTATTTGTAAGTAAACGGGTCAATGTCCCCCCCGCCCCCCCCCCACACACAAAAAAAGAAAATTTTTCTGGATCCGCCACTGGGTGGTGTTGCATTAATTAGGTCAAACAAAATCTTCCAACCATTGTCTTGTGCATCTTTAAAAGATTTCAACTGACACAATGCCAAATCTTAAATGCATAAACCAATATAAAAGCCCAATCATGTATTCAAGTTGAAGTAACAAGAAAATTAGAATAATTGATTGATTTAGAAATCACTACATCATCTTAATCAACTTTAAGTCCCAGTAAACAAAAATGTCTCTAAAGGGCATTGTAAAAAGATGTCGAAACAAACATAGACTAAGCCAAAATAAATTATGCCAACACACATAAGTTAACCCAAAATAGAACAAATTGTGAATATTCCAGTTCAAGCTGTACCTTTTGTGGAGTTCTAGGTAGAGATTTCCTCTTATTCCCTTTGTTCATTCGTTCATCCTTGCTTTCTTGAGACTCATTTACCTCCTCCTGAGTTACCGTAACCATTTCCTCATCGTCTGGAGGATTACGCCATGGGAGCTTTGATTGAGAATATTTCAATTCCTAAAGAAACCAAAAAAAATAGAGGAAAGTTAAAAACCCTAAGGTGTAACAGACTACAGACGTTCTAAAATATAGATTTCCTTTTTTTTACAGAGAAAAAAAATCAATTCTTAAAATACATTGCCGAAAAAGCAGCACAAAACCGGACTCATTAAGCAAATAAAAACAGTAACCATCAAATCGACCAAATATTATACCTTTATAGGAGTTCTGGCCCGAGATTTCCCCTTCTTTCTTGCATCTCCCTCGATTTCCTCACGCTTCATTTCTTCATCCTTGCTTTCTTGAGACTCCTTTATCTCCTCCTGAGTTACTATAACATTTGCCTCATCATCTGGAGGACCACGCCATGGGAGCTTCAATTGGGAAGATTGTAACTCCTAAAGAACAAGAAAGCAAATTTTAAAAACCTACGCTTTCAACTGACAAAACACGTATTAAATTCAACTAGCTAAAGTACATTGCCAAAAAAGGGGCAAAACAAGAAATTTAGACCAATTACAAAAACCCTAACCATTAAGCAACCTAAAATTATACCCTTTTTGGAGTTCTAGGTCGAGATTTCCCCTTTTTCTTCCCGTCTCCTTCGATTTCATCACACTTCTCTTTCTCCTCTTTCTCCTCCTCGATCACCAAGCTCTTCCCTTTCTCAGCTCGAGGCTTGTGCCAAGAGAGCTTCGATTGGATGCATCTCTTCGCTGGCTTCGCCGAGGGAGGCGAGATTTCGTTCCCGATCTCGACAACGACGCCCTCTTCCTTCGATAGATCCATCGCTTTGTGGATTTTGAGGGGTTTTGGGGGGATTCTGGAACCCTAATTTTGGGCAGAATCGATTAAGACAGGGGGGAAAAGGCGGGAAAAGTAAATAGGGTTAAGATGGCGTCCCAATTGTGGTGGGAAAAATAGAAATTCTGGTGGGAGGGGATTTATAGGCCCCCGCTCCCCAGATCGCTGCACCAGGGTTAAAAACTTTAAAAGTGGCTCCTAAAACAAATAATAATAATAAATAAATCACGCCCGCGGATGGCCCAAATGAACCGGTGTTATAAAAGTATATTGTCGTATCCATAGTTATTTTCCCCTATACAAGTACCGAAATAAACACCGAGTGGGTATGAATTTATTTTATGTATTTACCAGGGTAAAATTGTATCTATTATATTAAAAACTAGGGGAAAATGTGTCAATGCCCCAAAAAATAAAGCTATTGTGACTAGGCCCCTCGTATTATTTTTTATGTGACAAAGCCCCCAATACATGAAATACTTGTGTTTCAGCCTCTATTTAGCTTTCCAACATAGCACAGTGACAAACATTTGTTCAAAACACAAAACTGTCATTAACCTATTTCTTGTCTGCCCTCTCTCTCTCCTCTCTCTTCTCACGCTCAAACTTGTCTGCTAGAGATACCCGTCCACCGCCATGGCGGATACCTCCGCAAAGGTCGACCCCAAGATCCAGGCCTCTGACACCCTCCCTCTCCCCATTCGCCACACGAATCTCCTCTTCTCCTTCCTTTTCATGACCTCTCTCTTCTTCCTCATGCGCCGGTGGCGCGAAAAGATCCACACCTCCACCTGCACGTCGTCGGGTTCGTCGAGATCCTCTTCATTGTCTCCCTTGTTGCCTCCCTAGTCTATCTCCTCTCTTTCTTCGGCATCGCTTTCGTTTAATCCAGTGTATCCAGCTCCGATGACAAAGAGGAGAATCAACAACAGAGCCAGCAGCAACAGAGATACCCTCCTCCTCCTCCTCCTTGCCCTCTCATGGTCGACGCCGCCGTCGCCTGCGAGAAACCTAACGCCGTCGCCTGCGAGAAACCTAACGGCGGTATTTCAACAATCCTCGTCGAAGACGAAGAGATCGTCGAATCCGTGGTCATGGGTACGACCTCATCGTATTTATTGGAGTCCAAATTGGGAGACTGCAAACGCTCTACAGGTGTTCGACGCGAGGCCTTAAGGAGAATCATCGGCAGGAATCCCCTTCCCCTTCAATTCTATGTTTCTGAGGGAGAAGAGCTTAATGTGGAACCCACCACCCTTCAAGGCCATAACTCGGATGACACATTTTACTAGCAACCCAAGAATTCCCAAAGGAACAAGAGGCACCCTAACGGTCCCCTCAAAGTCCAGCTCAGAGCCCGTAAAGGCTCTTCCTCAATTCACAGATGATAACTGCAGAGGCATATTATGTTATGCAACATGTTGTTAAGGTGCACATCTATGTTTTTAGTCTCTTTTCTTGCACTTTCAGTTGCCCCTCTACACGGTTTTTCTGGCTTTACTTCTTGGTTCCAGTCCTTTTGGTTGTGGAAGGAGTTGTGGTGTTCATATTGAATCAGATATCTATGTGTATCCTGTAGAGGATCGGTCCACTTTGCTCTGGATAAGGGCAAACCAAGTTTTATAAAAATTACTATAGCAGCAACACATAAGCAATCTGAGCATGGGTATGGGCCTGGAAAAAGAGTTTTGGTGCTTCCTATTTGTATGGTGTTGGATTTATGTTGCCATGCCATGTTTTGGTGGTGGTTTTGTGTCGTTCTTGCATACTCATTTTGGGAACCTGATGGTGGCTTTCAGATACACGTAAGGGACTTGATTCATGGGTTTCGGTTTAGTTTTCTGCTGGTGGTTGTGGTATTTCTGCAGCAGTGGCTGATTGACATGGCTCTGATGCCTTTGATGATGCTTGTATACACTCAAATTTGGGTACACATGGTAAAAGGGCTTCCGTTTAATTCTTTGGCAGAGGTGCATGTGGTTCGAGGCTATGATTTCCAAATTGGATTGTTTCATTTTGGGAGACTTGGTTTTTGTATGATAGTGATGAAATCAGGAACTTTCTTTCCTTTGTATCAGTCTGGTTGTTTCTTCAGGAGCTCCATGAAAATAGCTCAAAAGTCTGTTGTTATTGTTATGAAGGTTAGATATAATTTTGTTCAAGTGAGGGGTGTCTCACTTCATGATATATTTGTTGTTTTAGTCCACAGGAGGCAAAACCATGTAATTTTCTACTATTAATGAAAGCTATATTTTTGTGTTAAAAAATCCCCCGTTGAAGACGAAGAGATCATTAGGAAAAGCTACATGTTTACTTGAATGTCAATAGGAAAAGCTAATACTTAGCATGTACATTTGACAAGTTATAATATTTAGTTGCATGTTATCATGTTATAAAGAAGTTGATATGTAACAATGAAAATTAACATATTATGCTGAAAGTTAACATATTCAATTGGTAGTTAGCGTGCAAAGATGAAATATAACATGTTCGTAAGAAAGTTAACATATGCAGATGAAAGTTAACATATACAGATGAGAGTTAACATGTTCACGTGAACGCTAGCATATAAACCTAAACGTTAACATATACACCTGAAAGTTAACATATACAGATGAGAGTTAACATGTTCATGTAAAAGTTAACATGTTCAGATTAAAGTCAACACTTTTAGCTTAAATTTAATATATTCAGCTGAAAGTTAACATCTTCACTTTAAAGTCCACAGAATTTGAAAGTCAACGTGTACAGTTGAAAGCCAACATATTCAGCTTAAAGTTAACGTAGTCAAATGAAAAGGTACATGTTTACTTCAATGTTAACAGGAAATACAAACATGTCAACAGGTACGTGTTCATCTCAAAGTTAATGTAGTCAAATGAAAGTTAACATGTTCAACAAGTACACCAACCCGTACATTTATTAGAAATATTTTGATATATGCAAATAAGTGACCAAAAATCACATGTTATATCTGTCAAATGTACATTTATTAGAAATATTTTGATATATGCAAATAAGTGACCAAAAATCACATGTTATATCTGTCAAATGTACATGTTAAATAATATATGCAAATAAGTGACCAAAAATCACATGTTATATCTGTCAAATGTACATGTTAAATATTAGCTTTTTCCTGTTATAGAATGTTGTTGAAACTCAAAGAAAGATTACTTGCGATATCGTTGTCCCTTTTTTGGGGAGAATGATGGACGTTGGGATTAGACCCAGCAGACCCACTTTCTTGAATGTTAACTTTAATTGTTATATGTTAACTTTCATCATTATATGTTAACTCTCCTCATAACATGTTAATCCAAAGTTAAAACAACATACAAAAATAGAGACAAACATATGCCTCATTGTACCAACAAACGTGTATTAGAATTGACGCATTGAAACTTCAAGAATAAGAAAAAACCCACTAAAATAAAACTTGCTACAACTTCTCATGATATCTTAAACATATGTAAATCGTTCAAGCCCACAATTATGAGTCATTCTTCTACTTAGTTTTGAGTATAACCATAAAAAATAACTAACAGATCATAAGTTCTCACAAGTTCAGACATGTTTTCTCATACAAATATCTTACAAAAAACATTTCAATCTCCATACAAAGCTACAAATTTTAGTATACATGCAATCTTTAGAAAGAAGCTGAGCTTGATCTTCGCAGTTGATGCTTTGGTTCTGGTGGCGGCGCAGAATGTAATATCGTTCTCTTCTTCAAGTCGTGAGACCTTGATCTCCAGTTCATTGGTGTATGTCTATCCATTACAAAAACAAGCTTCTCTCAAAACACAACACATTCATAAGATGAGAAATAGGATTCATTCTGAGAAAACGTTAGCATGTTATGAAGAAAGTTAACATATTATTACGAAAGTTAACATATTATGATGAACGTTAACATGTTTAGCTGGAAAGTTAACATGTTACGAGGAGAGTTAACATATAATGATGACAGTTAACATGCACCAGTTAAAGTTAACATAGGATACATGTTATGTTATTGTTGATCATGAGATTTGACGGACATTCTATGTTCTCATGAGATTTAACATTGATCAAAATTTCACTTATTTTGCCACAAATAAAAGACAATCAAAGCGTATGGTTAGATAAATAGCACAATTATCAGCTGGAGCTTTTAGATGTTATAAATGTTGCAGCACTGGATTCACAAAGGTAACGTCAGCTGATAAAAAACTTGGTAAAATAAAAAATCCAACCCATTGCAAAACATAATCTTGCAGTTAAGAACATACCCAAAAGAGAAAATTAGTAGCAAATTCTCAAAGTAACAAATAGGCACAACAAAATAAATGATTTTTTCTTCTCATATATAATGAACAACGAAGAGATGGTGGTTAATTCCTTAGAGGACTGTGGTCGTGGGGACATAAACTTACATTGGTCATACTACGGAGTCTCAAGACTCCCAAACAAAATTTCACATGTTTATGTGTAGTACTAATCTTATTATTTCAATGAAGCAAAATAAAAAACAACTGGTGTGCAGGGCACAAAAGAGCCACAAGAATCAAACACACATATATAATCATAGGAAAGTGGGTTACGCCATGAACCTGCACCTATAAAACCACTCAAAGGAAAATAAAATCCAAGAACTGAAATAATTAATCACTCACCTGATCATCATCATCAACGTTAATATACTTCCCCTGCGCCCACTTCATTTGCCTCCAAATCTCCGATGCCTTGAACTGAAACTTCTCCCTGCTAGCCGGAAAACAAACTGAATACAGTAAGTCTCCATCTCTCCCCGGCACTTTGGTCACCACTCCCTTCCACCAGACTCCGTTGTAGAACGCCTCGACACACTGGTAGAGCTCGAAATCAGTAGCGAGATTCACCGGCAGAGGCCGCGGCCGTATCATAGTGTGAAGGGTCTTCTCCTCGAGAGGCTTGAGGGGTATGGGATGTTTAGCGATGAGAGTAGAGTAGGAGACGATGGTCGATCGTTGGTCGGCGATTGAGAGGATGATGACGAATGACCGGGTGACGTTGGAGAGGGTCTGGTCGAAGTAGAGGGCGACGGTGGAGGACCACCACTAGGAGAGGGAGGGGGAGGGGGAGGAGATTGAGAGGAGGAGGAGGGGGAGGAATTGAGAGGAGGAGGAGAAAACCATAGAGAAGAAGAAGAAGAAAAAAAAGAAGAT